GATTTTGTTTTCTAACACTGGAAATCAAGAGATTCTCGAGCAATAGATCTTTGTATTGGAGCGAGAGGAGGGGGCAGCCAGGATGCGAGGGGTCTGGGAGCCGTGTCCTGGCGGAAACCTTTGGGGGGACCAGCAGTGTTCCCCCTTTCAGGAGGGCTGTGGCCGGGCTGCCAGTCTCGCCTCGTCTGGTCTGGTTCGGTGTGCTCTCGGGGCAGAGCGAGAGCAAAGAGCGGTGGTTATGGAGGAACAGATGGTAAGAATAGTTCCAATAGTAATTGCTGTGACAAGTCCTAGGCTGGGAGTGAGAGCCCTGTGACTAGAGCTGTCTGATTCCAGGAGATGCCAAGAGGCTGGACAGGCCTTACCAGGAGGGGTGGCAGGGGTGCAGATTTGCACGGACTTGGAGCTCCCTGCTGTTTTGAGAGTTTCGGATTGGATGCAAGAATTTTAAAAATATAATTGACCTGCGATACCTTGAACGGCAAGCTGGAACTCTTGTCTCACGAAGTTTGAAGAATAAATGTCGAGGACAAAGAATTTTGAGCAAAAGTGTGGCAATTGATTGTAAGCGTATACAAGCTCCTGTGCAGGGAGGGGTTCCCACATGAAAACGGAGAGCCCGTGTCTTTGTCTAGGGGTGTATAAATGCTGGCAGCTTCTTTGTCCATTCACCCCACTTTCTAATTGTCCCCCGTGCTTTTCCCAATTGGCCCCGTCCCCCATTCCCCTGCGTGGCATCGGTTTCAAAGTTTCAAAGCTCACCGGTGCCGCCCGCCCTTCTTCCCCTTCGCTTGTAACATTCCTGTAACAGTCTGGCGGCTTGGAGGTGCCGCTGCCAGTCACGCATGAGTTCCTCTCCCGTGGGCCCCCCTTTCCCTGCCTGCTTCTCTATCTCTAAAATCCTCTCAGTGGGAACCCCTTGCGTGTCCCCCATTGGAAGTTGGGTTCATGCAGGCCCTTATAACCAGGTAACTTCTCCGGGCTGCGCGTAGATTTTATCTGTGCAGTTCCTTTTCTGCAGACCTTGGGGTGGCTAGTGGCGGCCTCTAGACCAGGGGTCCTCAAACTACAGCACGCGGGCCACATGCAAATACAAATATTGTATTTGTTCCCGTTTTGTTTTTTCCTTCAAAATAAGATATGTGCAGTGTGCATAGGAATTTGTTCATAGGTTTTTTTTTTTTTAAAAACTATAGTCTGGCCCTCCAGCGGTCTGAGGGACAGTGAATTGGCCCCCTGTTTAAAAAGTTTGAGGACCCCTGCTCTAGACCCTTGGTGTTCCTCATGCTCCGAGGCCACAGGCTCCCCAGGATGCCCAAGGCTGGGGAGCTGAGGGGTGAGCTCTGCCCCCTCCCCTCACCCACAAGCCCACTGGGAGCGCTCACTGGCTGCATCGCCACCTCTGGCACAGAGGTGCGGGCACCGCCTCCCGTGATGGCCTTCGTGAGGGCAGATGCTAGCAAGTGCTGTGGCCACGCTTCCTCCTGCTTCCATTTCCCAGGGCTGCGCCCCACTGCCACGTCCCAGTTCTTCAGAGAGGCCTCCTCCCAGCTGTGCTGGCCTGTCCTCTCGATTATATTATCTGCCGTCGTCTTTCTTGGTTGATTTGCTGGTTGGAAGGCAGCCACAGGTTAAAGGTTAAGCTCCAGGAGAGAAAGCACTTGGCCCTGACCGACCCGGGGGGTGGGGAGGGGGGTGTCACTAACATGACACCCTCCTGGCAGGTAGCAGAGGTTCTGGAGATGCCGGTGGAAGGAATGAACCGAGGAGGAAGTTTAATTAGGCATCCAGGTGCCCACGAGTCTCCTCTGAACGGAGGGGCTTCCTCCCCCTGACCCCTGGCAGCAGGTCTGGGACCAGACCGCCGCGCCCGGCAGACCCAGGCCATGGGCGTCTCGGCTCCCATGTCTGGAAACTCTGTTCCCACTTCGTTGTCCGAAAAACCAATTTTTTCACTAACTCCACCACATACTTAACCCAAACTTCATACATGCAGCAATCTTTCCCCCAGGGAGTGTGAAGGTCGGGAATAAAATAAAACACAGCACAGGGCAGGGCTGACCTATGGTATCACAAGAGCGTCCGAGAGCTCGCCTGTGACCCATCCGTTTATTTCAGTGACATCAGAATATGACAGTCTGTTGGGGAAAGCACATTTTTAAATTCATACTGGGGAAGTGGCACTATAACATTGTTTTAAAAACATCTTAATACGTTTCCTCTTAGAACCTATAGTTGAGTTAGAGAAATAAGCTTTGCCAAATGCCCATTTCTGTCTTCCTTGGTCCTGGCCAGCTGGCACCACTCATCAGCTTTCCCCAGTGCTCCCTTAGCATCGTCTAAGCCAGCATGGAAACGTGGGCAAGTGCACCTGCCCACAGTGCCCAGCCTCCTGCCGTCGCGTGCCCCGGAGCTGGCTGCGGGGGGCGGAGGGCAGGGGTGCGTTCCTGACACCTAGCAGCTTTCCCGGGGTTGTCTCAGGCCTCTCTGCCTGGGTGCCCACTGGGGAGGCACCTGCTCTATTCCTGCCTCTGGCATTAAGTTGCCAGATGACCCTGGTCTCAGATCTGGACACTTCGCTCTCTGATTCTCGGTTTTCCCATCCCCCTGGGACCCCGCGGGCTCCTTCAGCTCTGCTGTTGGGGACACTGTGAGTTTTGAGGGGCAGGCCTGTTGACACTAGGGACCCTGCTCCTGGCAAAGGCAGTGGTGACTGCGTAGCCTCTGGGCTCATCTGGTGGCAGATTTGTCTGCGGTGAAGGGCAAGGTTAGCATCTCTGTCCAGCCGCGCTGGGCTCCCCTGGGGGATTTTCTCCTTCGCTGGCCCTGGGGGATCTCCCCTCCTTCCCTCGCCCCTCTCCTCCTTGTCCTCCTCTCTCTGATGGTCAGACTGGAGTTCCTGCCTATGAGACTGGAAAGGCAAAGCCGGCTTCACAGAGGACCTATTGGCACATCAACAATAGCAACAACAACAGTAATAATAACCACAGCGTCTTACATGCAAGGTTTCTTAGTTTACACTTTACAAGAGCGTTTAAGTCCATCATCTCATCAGTCACGCGAGGGCCCCTCAGAGTAGATAGGAGGAAGACCCTCCCTTCCTTTTCCCTGAGTCCTGCGGAGGGGCAGACAGGGCCTGGGCCCCCTCTTCCGCAACGTGTGTCCCCAGCAAACACTGACCCATTAAGCGTGAAAATTTCCTAACCGAACTCTTCCTGCCCCATGGGTCTCCCTGTTCTGAGAATTTGGTTGCTCAAATAGAATTTTAACCTCCCCGTGTTAGAAAAGCTTCATTTGGGGGTGGATTTTTTTAGTGGCCTTGCATTTGGCACTTGGTAAAGTCAGGGCTTCCGAAATTGAGAGGAAGGCTCACAATCCCTCCCCTCCCCCACCAGCCCCCCTGAGAGAAAGAACCTGGTCCTTCTGGCTGGTGGGTGATTGGGGGCTGGACGCGGGTTTGGACTCAGGGGTGATGGGCAGAGAGAGGCCTGGACTCCTGGGGAAGCAGAGGGAGCCCACAGCCCCCGAGAGTCCTTCCGGAGGGCAGGGGCCTGGCGGGCTGAGCGGGCTTGGTGCCACCTGCCTGTGCCCCTCCATCTCCCCTCTGCTCCTTCCTCCCTTCTGGACACTCCGAGCCTTCGGTCCACCATCGGTGCTCTCAGATCCCCTAGGCTCATCCGTGGGCCCTCAGAGAGGGGGTCCACACTCTCCCTGACCCTACAGGGGAGGCTCCCAGGGACGGGGACGGAGGGCTGGGTGAAGGGAGGTGGGCAGTTGGTGCAAGGGGCCCAGCCCGAGGGTGGCAGGGGCAGCTGAGGTGGAGGAGAGGCAGGGCCCAAAGGCCGCTTTTGCTCACATTCCCGACATGGAGGACGCTCTAATCTCTGGGTCCTCGGGAAGCAGAATAAGGAGCGAGCGAGGCAGAGGGGAGCAGGAGAAACAGCAGGAAAGTGGGCTCTGCTGCTCTGCCCTTCACTGTCACCATGTGGGTCCCTGGATGGCCCCGTTAAGGCCTGTACCCCAGAGCAAGAGCCTCCCAGAACGTCCCAGCATCGGACTCCGGCCAGGGCTGTGGGCAGGCTTGGCTCCGGCCCTGGCTTCCAGCCTCCGTGGGGTCACAGCCCAAGCTGGACGGGGGTGGGGTGGGGGGGGAGAGGCACAGCCTGGCCCTCTTCCCGCCCCTCACCCACGGGACTCAGTTCCTGGGGAGGGAAGGGAAGGGAGAGAGCAGCTGTTTTAAATTTTGGCAAAACAGGCTCACATAAGCCCGAGTTCAGATAGTTTTGCAATGGAATCCACTCAGGCAGGAGGAGTGGGGTCTGCAGGGAGGTGGGGGTCACAGAGGAGACCTGTGCCCGGGGCTTTGCCTGGAAGAACTGGGCATCTGGGACCTTAACAGCCAGGACTGAGCACTGTAGAGAACAAGTCACGTCTCCTCCCCCCTCTCCCCTCATTCCTGAGCTCACAGCCTCTGGTTTCTGCTGACACCCCCCTGTTTCATCGACATAAAAAGTTCCTTCTTCCTCACACAGGCTTTCACTTCTTTATTCTTATCCTTCAGTTTTAAAACATTTTTATTAGTCTTTTCTCTTAAAACTTTTAACAGCTGTTTATAAAAACACGACAAATCCACAACACGAGACAACTCAGTCACAATAGCTCACTATATGGTACATATACGCGGACGGTGTGATATATTTATATAATAAAAGATGAAAATAGTCACTTTCCATAATAAAAATAAGTTCTATTTTTTGTTTATTTTACAATATACTTAATATTCTCTTCTTCTTTCCTCGCCAGGCCCCCCGTGGCCGAGCCGGAGGGGCGGACGGAGGACTAGGCGCAGGGCCGGCAGCCGCACTCTAAGTGTCTCTCCACCTCCTCCACGAAGGAGGAGCCGTCCGTGCACTGGAAGGCGTATTTCCGCCGCTTGCTGCGGGTGGGCAGGCAGCACTGGGGCCCGCAGCCCCCGCGGCACTCCACCACGGGCACCTTGGAGGCTGTGGCACACGACGCGTAACCCTTCTGGCGGCGGATCACCTCTCGGACGACCTCCCCCAGGCACGGGCTTTCTGCAGAGGGCAGCGGGGTAAGGTCAGGGCACTGGTGGGGCAGAGGGCTGGCAGGAACCAGCGCCCCTTCCTGGGCAGCGTTCTGAAACTCTGTGGTCTTTAGTCACTCACTCATCTGCCCACCCTGCTCTTCCCACCCCCACCCTGCAGCCATCGCCCACACTCTCACCCCCTACACATCGTTATCTCCGTGAAACTGCCTTCCACCTATCTACCCATCCACCCTCGGATCCAGTCATCGACCCACCCACCTGCGTCCCTCCCTTCAAGGAACTTCAGACCAAATTTTATGTGGCAGACAGATAGAATGAGGGCTGGTCCCATGTCCTGGCAAACTGATTGCACCCTCTGCTTAAAGTCAGATGAAATGCCCATGTTAGAAACAGAACCCAGGGGATTCCACCTAGCAGTTGGGGTTTCTGGCTGCTTTGGAAAGCAGGAGGCCTGGCAAACGGGGCCCACTTCTCTGCATTGTAGTGGTGGCTGGAGCCCAGGGTTTAGATGGGGCGGCTCTAGGTGCCCCGAGCCTGGACACTAATGGTACCTGAGAGGGCTGGCGGGAGCACACAGCACAGGGGCTGCCGTGGGTGGGGGAGGGGGCTCTAAGCCTGCAGGAACCCTCTGGACCCTGACCCACCTCTCCTCTCCACCCCTCCTGTCCTCCCTGCACTGGGAGCACCTCTGCAGCGAGGCCCGAGGCCAGCAGTGGACACAGCCTCGGTTTCCTGGTCTGGAAAATGGTGCCCCGTGCCCTGTCCTCCCTGCTACTTCACAGGCTGGTATGAGTCCAGAAAGGGCCTTGTGCTCTGCCCAGAGGTTCTGGGGACTAATGGGAGAGAATGTTAAGCGGGATACAGATTTGGAAGTGATGGGATTGTCAAAAGGTCCAGAGAGAGACCAGGGGGAACGAGTGTGTGGAAAGTGCGAGGCAGCAGCGACGGGCCATTGGGCTGAAGGAACGGAGCGCTGTCTGTATTGTTCTGGCAGTTTTTCTGTTCGATCTGAAGTTATCTCAAATGCACTGATAAAGTTTTGATTAAGAGTGGCAGTTCAGCTGGGTATAAAATGTGAGTCCTCTACTGTCAGGAGTGCGGTGAGGGAGGGGAATTCTCTTTCTCTGCAGGTTCTGATCTCAAAGGTCTCCGGTGGGGGCCTGAGACTGCACTTCTACCCCCTCCCAGGTGAGTCAGTGTGCTGGTTAGACGTCTACACCTTGTGTGGCTAAGTTAGGGATTCGTTTTGAAAGCAGGCATTTCAAGACGTCAGAAAGAAGGAAGAGTGGAAAGGAGACGGACAGAAGAGCAAGTGGGAGGAGAGGAGAGAGGCTAAAGGGAGAGAAAAGTGGGTAGAAGGCAGAGGCGGGGAGAAGGGAGGAAGAAGGGACTGGAAAGGGGAAAGGAGTGAGGTGAGGACAGGGAAATCAGGATGGGGGAGAAGGGAGAGAATAGAAGGGAAAAGGTACAGCAGAGGACAGAGATGGGAGGAGGAAGAGAAAGGATATGAAAGAGGGAAGAGGCAAGAAGGAAGAGTAGAAATAAGAGGTGAGACAGGAGCGTGGACGATAGATGGGAGAGGAGAATGGAAAGAGAGGCGGGAAGAGCCGACAGGTAGGGCAAAGGGAGAGAGGGAAGAACAGAAAGGGAGAGGAAGGAGGGATTGAAGAAATATGGGAGAGGAGACTAGAGAGAGGAGAGGGTGAAGGCTAGAGGGAACGGAAAGGGAAGAGAAGCAGGAGCGGGTGTAGATTAGAGGGGACAGAGAGGTGGGAGAGAAGAGGGAGAGGTTGGGTCATGCAGCCTCCAGGTGGCACACAGCAGGCTACCTTGTTCGCAGTGCTCCCCTCCGAAGCCAGGCTGGCACAGGCAGTAGGGCTCCCCTCGGTCTGAGACGTGGCACTGCCCATGGTGGCATTTGAAGGCTGAGCAGGCGCTGGCGGAGTCGTTTTTGTGGTCACACAAGGCCCCGCCGTAGCCCTCGGCACACTGGCACACGTAGGAGGGCCCGGTCCTCACACACTTGCCATGGTTGCAGCTGTGGGCAGACGAGAGGGTGAGAGGGGAACCGGGTGTGGGTGCTGCGGGAGGGGTCTTCCTCCACCTCCGGGCTCAGACCCAGACCCAGCTCCGTGGGACCGTCTCCATCCCATGCTCCACCTCCGGCTGGCCCCGTGGCCGAGCTCAGTCATTCCGCAGACACTCTGCGGTGTCCCAGGGGCATTATCCAGTGTCTACGCGGCTGCGGCCACCATGTGGCCGGCTCAGAACTCACGGGTCCGAGCGGCAGTCACTGCTGGGGAGCATCTCGGCTTTCTCTAGGCATGTCAGCTGCATGTAACCCTCACTGTTCATGTTAGTGCCGTGAGCACCACCCTTGCTGGTGCCAGGCAGCCAGCATCGCGCTGGGTCATCGCGCTGGGTGTGTAGTCCCCCTGTGTGGTGGGTCGCCTTCAACTCATGTTAGTGCCATGAGCACCACCAGGCGCAGCCACCCTTGCTGGTGCCAGGCAGCCAGCATCGCGCTGGGTGTGTAGTCCCCCCTCCTGCTGCTCCTGTGTGGTGGGTCGCCTTCTCCACGCGGCACAGGGGCAGGAACGGGTGCCCAGTCTATGTTCTAATACGAGCAGCGCTGTCTCTGCTGGGGTGATGGTGAGAGCCAGGGTCCCCTGCAGACGACTCAGAGCTACACACCACAGAGCTACGCAGAGCCACCGGCCCTCGTTGCCAATTTACGCCGCCACTTCCTAGCTGGTCAGCCAACCCAACCATGGGTCTTGGCTCTGGTGTTATTTTTGGCTGATTCAGATTTCTTAGCACTGAGACTCTGGGTTTCTCAGTTTAACACTGGGCAGGGCGCACAGTAGGCCCTCTGAATACTATGGGGTGAATGCGAGCGATTAAGCCGTGAATGTGATTCGGCTGTGGGTATGCACACCGGGTCTTGCACGGGCACCGGCTGAGGGGGCAGCCGAGTCTGGGCTGAAAGTCCCTCCTCCCACTGGCCCAGCTTAGAGGGTGCCCGTCTACCCAAAGGGGCTCCTGTCTGACTCGCAGGGAGGCAGGTAGGTGCGTGCTGCGGCCTGGCACCCGATGCCTCGGAGCGGGGCCTCCTGGACACGTGTAAGCTCTGGACACCTCGCAGTCACACCGATGCAGGTCCTGCCTACAGTTTAACCGCAACCCCTCCAGCTGCCATCAGGGCCACTTCTCAGGTGGGCGGGGGTCGGGGGGCACTGACCTGTGGCCCAGGCAGGGGTCCAGGGCCTCCTGGTCGCACAGCGGGCCGGTCCAGCCGGGGTGGCACTCGCAGACCACACTGTCCTTCTCCACTGCGCGGCACAGGCCGTGCTTGCACACCGTGCAGGACTTGCAGCCGGGCGAGACCCCCAGGGACTGTGGCGGGAGCGCCTTGAAGTCCTGTAGCTCGTTGTTGATGCGCACCTCGTGGATGCAGCCATGGAAGCCGCCCAGCGGCCGGTCCGCCCCCTGGCGCAGGGCGGAGAGGCCCGTGGAGGTCGGGATGCCTGTGGGAGCGATGCCAGGACAGCGGCCTGAGACCCTTGCCCCGGCCCAGCCCTCCCCTTAGAGCAAGAGCGCGCTCTGTCCATGTCCCTACTAAGCGTTCGCAGCCCTGGCCGCTGCTGTGCCAATGGAGGGAATGGGCCAACGCCCGAGCTCCTGTCCACGCAAGGACATGTGCCCATTGTCCTGCACTGTGACTCAAAACGGGAAATGTTGCTATTATTTACATATAGGAAATATCCCGTAAAAGTCCATTTTTCAGGCTCCTCTAGAGAAACAAAATGTGGCCAGCCACAGCCACGCGGCCACGGCCTGATGGAGGACCACGCCCAGGCAGGGTGCCCACCTCTCCCGCTGTCCCCATCAGGCCTCTGCTGTGTGACAGCCCCCACCTCCCCGGGACACCGCAGGGGAGCGGGAGCAGGAGCTGGGGAGAGAAGACTGAGGGGGGGCGTGCAGCCTGGATCTGTGGAACTTTGGGATCTTCACTGGGAGAGACGCTCTGGGCCTGGGCTCTCCCTGGACCACTCCAGCCTCCACAGAGGGGTTCCCTGGGGGCCCTCTGTGTTGAACAAGCAGTTCTGGTGACTGTTTTGCACACCATCCTTTCAGAACTACCAGCCCAGGGCTGCCAGGCTGGGGCAGGGTCAGGGGGCACTTCTCTTTAATCTCAAACAGGTTCTTCCACGTACATCAGCTGAGCCTCGCAGTGTCCCACCAGGTGGCAGAGCACAGGGGACGTGACCTGAAGTCCAGGGATTGCAGGGTATGGACCCTGCCTTCCTCTCTACATTCCCCCACCCAATAACTTGTGATTCTCAGAAGGAGCCCTGCGCTCTCTCCTCTCCTCTTCTCCTCCCCATGCCCGGGCTAACTATTCACCCTTTAGTGATCAGCTTGGTTGTCACTTCCTCCAGGAAGCCCGCCCTGATTGGCTTTGCAGTGAATGCCTACATGAGCACAGGGGAACCTCAGCCAGAGGGCCCGAGTGCAGGTGCCCGAGCACAGAGGGCAGGTGAGAGCTGGAAGTGGCAGGGGAGGGGCTTTACCTCCAAGGTAGAGGGGGCTGTTGATGCCCACTGCTGGCTGCTTCTGGAGCTTTCCCAGGCTCTTGGGGGCTCCTTTGTCCACCACCAGGTTCAGGGTCTGGTTCAGCATCACCAGCTCCACGCTGTGAAACTGCCCGTCATTCACCGTCTCCACGCTGGGCAGGAGAGGAGGAGAGAGGTTGGCCGCGTGCCTTCCACAGCGGGCATTGGGCTCCGAACTTGACTGCCATTACTTGCACTTCATTTTACTTTTTATTTGCAAATAAATTTAAACTTACATTTTATTTGCAAATAACTTCAAGCTTACCAGTATCTGTTGCAGAATAGCCCTGTTTGCTTTATCATTTTTTTTCTCTCTCTCCATCTCCACACACACGAATACACACAGTTTTCCTGAACTCTTTTCTGCGGCTAAGGACAGGGATGTTCTCTTCGGTAGCACATGGATGCCATACGTGTATCTAATCAGCCTGTATTCTAAGTTGTCATTGGACCCTGTAAAGCCTTTTATAACATTTTTTCCTTCCAGTACAAGACCCAGCCCAGTATCTGCAGTCTCTCCTGCATTTCAGAGCTGAGCCCGCTCCACCTCAGACGCCCCTGTTGTTGCCTGCTGCACACCGTGGGGACCAGGGTGTGCGTCACATGCTCCTCCACTCGCTCCGTTTCTCCCTCAGGTATCGGTGGGGATGCCAGGCCAGCCTTGTTCCGAGGAACGCTGCACAGAGTTGTGCTGTGAGGTTTATCTTCTAGGACACGAGCAACAACGACCTCAGAGGTAAAGTGGCACTAGCTCGCCTCTGTCCCACCTCAGTCTGCCTCCTCTGCCTCCATCTCTGCGTTATTGTTTAGAGCCGTGGCCTTCGAAGTAAAACATCAGCGGAAGCGTGGCTCTGCGGCAAAGGCAGAGGAAGAGTGGGGAAACCCCACCGGTAATCCGCCTGCTGTGAGATCCGAAAGGACTGCACCTGAGAGACGCTCGGGGGGTTTGGGGAGGGAGGGCTGAGTCTTCCCCCTAATCCGCTGGCCCAGAGGAGGAGGCCACAGGAGGGGCCGCTGGTATGGAGCCGGCTGGGTGGCCCGCTGGGTCACACATGAGAACAGGCGCTGAGCAGAGCGGCCTGTCCAGTTCGCCTTTGCTTTTAACAACAACGCTGGGCAGGTTTGAGCCCTTCACAGGGGCCGCGCATGCTACTCCATGCTAAGCACTTGCCTTACACTCCCCACGTGGGAGGCGCCACGCCTTCTCCATTCTAGAAATAAGAGACTTAGGTGACCCTGCCACTGTCTTGAAGTGGGAGTGGTAGAGGCCGGACTTACATCCAAGCCCCCAGCCACAGGCCCCTATGCCACTGGGGACGAATCGTCGTTTCAGGGGCTGGGCTCCTCACCTGGATGCGGAGTTGTGACCACGAGGTGGCGACAGTGTCACAGGAAGAAAGGGCTGGGATTTTCCTCAACAGCCTGCACTGCACACTACTATGCCCCAGCACCGGGGAGGGCAGGCTTGGGTGGGAGCCGGAGCTGGGTTTGAATCCCAGCCCTCCCACTGACTGACTTGTGTGCCTCTGGGCCAAGGACTTCCTCCGAGCCCGGGTTTCTCATCCTTGAGACGGGAGTGCTGCTGCCCGCTGGGCTTGTGGTGCGGAACCAATGAGACGAAGGCCTTGGCAAGGGACGGGGCTGTGGCCATGACTTGGGGAGCATGCGCGGCAGGCCAGATAGCCTCTCAGCTGCTGCTTTAAAACGGCCAGCATTTAAACACAGGCCTCACACGGAAACCTGGATTTCTAGCTTCTCTCGAGAATCTGCATCCCCACACGGCAACATCTGCTGGAGCCGAGGTCAGCGGTCCCAAGGCTGGTACCCTTGAAGCTACCACAGTCCCCACCACTCCCTATTACACGTCAGCCCACGCTCCCCAAGTCTGTCAGCTTAGCCCCTTGGCCTTCTGGGTAGGAGATAATGCCTGAAGCCCCTCTGACAAGTCTGGGGACGGACTTATCCCCATTCTGGGCCAGGGCGGGGCTCAGGTGGGCTCTTCTGTGTGTTGGCCCTGGGCCTGGAATAGAGAGAGCCTCAGGGGCCCCCTCCCCTCCTGCCACTGGCAGGTGAGCACGGCCAGGCACCTGCACGAAGGAGGCCTGCGACTTCACAGATGTCACTGAAGACAGAGCCACATTTAGAAAGCGAGCAGACTTACAGCTGATGTAAAGCAGTGTGTTCAGCAACGGTACGGCCGAGCACCGATCGTGAAAAAACCAGGGCGACCGGGAAGGACGGACGCTCAGGGCCGACTGTCCTTCAGAGCCATCTGAAGGTCACTTTGGGAGCAGGCCTGTCCCTGGCGCTCTGGAGCACCCGCCCCCTGAGTTGCATGCTAATCTCCCCGTTTTCTTTCTTAAAATAATAAAAGATTAGGGTGACATTTTGAAAAGGGCATCTCATTAAGCAGCCTTGTCCCCGTTGGAGCGGGCCCTGCGGTAGCTGGCTGGCCATTTATCTTATGGAAATGAGGTGCCATCTCCTGGGCCTTCCTCTCCTGCATCTTCCTCCAGCACCTCTCTCCCCCAGCCCCTCCTCTCCTGGGAGGGAAGGTGTGCATGTGTTGGGGGGGCAGCGAGAAGAGGCAGCGGAGTCTCCCTGGCATCGCCTCCCGGGGCGGACGCAGGCGGGCGGGTGTGCGGTGGAGGGCCTGGGGCCTACCTGTACACGGTGGTCGGCGGGGAGCTCAGGCTGTCGTAGACCAGCCGCACGTGGCCCTGGTACAGCTCCAGCGCCAGGGGGTCGTTGTCTCCCTTGTAGAGGAGGATGCCGTTGTCCTTGTCCGTGGCCACCTGGGCAGAGGGATGCGGTTAGGTTCCCCCGGGCCTGCCCTCTCGGCCCACCTCCGGGAGGCTGCTTCCGGGTGGCATCTCTGAGCGACCCCAGCATTCACTCCTCCCCCTCTGGACTGCGAACCCCCAGAGGAAGGCCTGTGCTTACACCCCAGCAAACGCTGAGTCAGTTCATCACACACCTGTGGAGCCCCCATCATGGTATGTTCATACTCACCCACCCTCCCAGCCACCAGCAGCCCTGCGCGCTGGTCTAGCGCTCCCACTGGTACATGGTCGCACCCAGCCCAGCCCCTGTCGGCCCAGGTCGGCCTGAAGTGTGATGCTAGTTATAAACTAAATGCTAGCAGTCACTATTGATTCCCTTTACTATGGACCAGGCGCTGTGCTGAGAGTCACCTGAGGAGTTTTTAAAACATCAGTGTCTGCGCTTCACCCCAAACCACTAACACGAGTCCGGGGGGTTGGGCCCTGCAAGGGCCATCTGAGAAACTCCGGGCGAGTCTAACGTGCTGCACAGGCTGACAACCATCGGCTCCAGAGGGCACCCCTGTCAGGCCCGCTGCAGGGGGGTTCTCTGTCTGCCTGCAGCTCCCACTGCCCGGCGCACACAGCCTGGAGGACTGGGCTGTGCAGCAGGTGGCCTGATAGACAGCTGGGTGTCCAGGTACTAGACTGCACCCCTCTTCATCCTGCCCTGTTGGCCCCTCACCTTTCTGCCCTTCTCCAGGCGAACTCCTAGTCCTCCTTCTGATCTCAGCTTCGTTATCACTGCCTCTGGGGAGCCCTCCCGCATTCTTCCCAGCGGCCGGGACCCCGCCCCGCCATGTGCTCCCACAACACCAGGGCTGTCACTGTCCTTTTCCTTGTCATCCTGCTCGGACAATGGGCTTGCCCGTCTCGTCCACTATTGAACGCCCATTGCCCAGTGCAGTGCTTGGTGTGTCACAGCTGGATGAGTAGTTCCTAGAGCAGTGGTTCTCAACCTTCTGGCCCTTTAAATACAGTTCCTCATGTTGTGACCCAACCATAACATTATTTTCGTTGCTACTTCATAACTGTAATGTTGCTACTGTCATGAATCGTCATGTAAATATCTGATATGCAGGACGGTCTTAGGCGACCCCTATGAAAGGGTCATTCGACCGCCAAAGGGGTCGCGACCCACAGGTTGAGAACTGCTGTCCTAGAGGAAGGAGTGAATGAGGCTGGAAGTGGGGCTGCTGGAGCATAGGAGCTGGTTAGCAGCTGGCCCAGACCCCAGAGCTGCGTGTGGCCTTGATGCTGCTGTAGTGGGCAGGGCTGCATGACCTGGGGCCTCCCCGCTGTCCTCAGAGCAAGCAGAGCTGGGCGTGGGGGGGGGAGAGGAGGGCGCACCTGCAGGGAGATGTTGGCTTGGGGCCGGACCTTGGCGGAGGCCAGTTCCACGTAGGAGTCCTTGCCCACGAAGTTGACTGTGATGAGCTTCTCGCAGCGCGGGCCGGCGAAGCCCGGGGGGCAGCGGCAGGTGGGCTCCTGCTGCACCACGATGCACTGCGCCCCATTCTGGCACTCGTACTGGTCGCAGGGGCTGGTCTGCAGCAGGACCATGGGCGGCGGGTGCTCGCAGAGGAGCCCACTGGGGGAGAGGGAGACAGGTGTTCGGCCAGAGCCCGAGCAGAGAGGGGTGCACGATGGGCTCCCTGCTCGATGCTGACTGGGGCGGGTCCCTTTCCTTCTCTAGGTCCTAGGCCGCCATCAGATGGGACCATGCCCAAGCCTGACATGGGCTGGGCCTCAGGTCCAACCCCCGAGTGGCTGCCCGGGTGGCTTTTCTCCCCTTCTGCACACGGGGCTGACAGCCTCTGCCCTGGGCCTTGGAGGGGCTGAGGACAGGGCGGGGATACAGGTGCCGCGGAGACCCAGGGCCGGGGCGTGGCCCTCCCCCTCCCCCAGCCCCTGCCCGACACCTGGCCCAGGTGAGCTCCTTCCCCGGGCTCCACCATACCTGAAGCCCTGGGGGCAGAGGCACGTGTAGCCATTGACCGCGTCCACACACTGGGCCCCGTGGTGGCACCTGTGGGCCGCGCAGTCATCATTGTCCACCTCGCAGAGCTTCCCGCTGTAGCCGGGGAGACACTCACACCTGGACACAGAGAGCGAGGCTGTTCTATGCCGCCAGCGCCCACGGCCGCAGGGACAGCCCCGCTGCTGCAGCTGCGGACAGTCCGGGCGCACTCCCCTCCCGACCCAGCACACGGGCACCAGGGCCAGCCTCACGGAGCCACGGAGGCAGGCGCGTGAGGCTGTGCACAGGGCAGGGGACCCCGTCCCCCGTGATCTCCGCTGCCTCAGCGGGTCTCTCCTGCACCAGCTCCGGGAAGGGGACATGGTGAGAGGGGAGAGTGGGCCTCTGCCGCAGACCCCAGGAGCCCGCCTGACCTGAATCCTTTGTCCAGCGAGATGCACTTGGCCTCGTGCTGGCAGAGGTTCAGCCCCGGCACGCAGTGGTCCATCACCTCGTCGCACAGCTCACCTGTCGGGGGGAGAGCACGCAGCCTCAGGGGCCGTGGGCTTCGGGCCGGCATTTGCTCTCCTGGAGCGTCCTTGCTCCTGGCCCTGCTTGGTTTCTCCGGTGACAACGGGAGATTCCGGATCTCTCCCGGGCGGTCACAGCACCACCATTCGGCTGTTTCTCCCTAACTTGGGCTATGCTTATTTATTTGTTTTTCCCTCCACACTGTTTATTGAGCGCCTCCTCTAGGGCAGGCACCGTGCCAGGTGGCAGGGACATGGCAGTGAGGGGTCCGGTCCCCCATGGCCCAGGTCTGCAAACACACAGGCAAGGACGACCCAGAGTGTAAGCAGGACCACAGGCGAGCTCCAGGGAGGCCCAGCAGCTTCCTGGTGGGTGGATGTGGCTTAAAGCACAGTCCACCTGCTACAGGCAAGCCAGCCCCTCGGATGACCTCAGAGGAGGCGCTAGGAAAGGCGTCTGAAGGCCTGGTCTCTGGATACATCCCTTTGACGTTCACAGCACCATGAAGTGCCTGACGGGTCATAAATGCCCAGGATGGCTTCACCACTCACGGTACATGTAACCGTCCTCACTAGGGCTATTAACATGGGAAATGAAGGTGCTATTGGGGTGTTGTGGTGGGGAGAGTACCAGTAATTATCCCGTGGAATAGCCTCTGGCGGGAGCCCCCACTTTTGCCCCACTGGGTGAGGTTCTGTCTCTGTGGCCCTACGAGGTGTCAGTTTGTGTCCTATTCTCTCTCTCTCTCTCTCTCTCTCTCTGTCTCTCTCTCTCTCTCTCTCCCCATGATGAATTCTTGTGAGAAGAAGCTCTGTCCTGCTCACTTTTGCATCCCCGGCTCCTAGCAGTGTCTGGAAAGTGTAGATTTCCAGAGAAGGCTGACCAGACCTGAACACAGCACCAGCAAGGCGTGGGCCTCTCTGCTAGCCTCGAACACCCCTGTTCTCCAGGCTCCTAAGGGAGGGGTGGCCACCAACTGAATGAGCAGACAGCTGGGAGGGCCCTGGGAACTGTTCTAGAGTGGGAAGGAACGAGTAGTTTGTGAGGATGGAAGGACAAAGAGATGGGGCCTTGGGGAAGCCCCTTGTGGGGTTTTAGGGGTTCAAGCCTCAGTCTATGGGGGAAGGAGGAGGGGTCCCTGGAAGAAGCTAAGAAAACGGTGCGCTCAGTGCATGAGGTCCCCCCCCCCACCCCCCCGCCTTGCACCAATCCCCACTCAGGCATCAGGCCTTACCTGTGTAGTTAGGCGGGCAGACACACACGTAGTTGTTGATCCCGTCCACACAGGTGGCGTTGTTCTCACAGTCATTGTCCTCACAATCGTCTGGGTTGATCTCACATCGCTGCCCCTCAAAGCCCAGCGGGCAGGAGCAACTTTGGGGATGGGTGGGGTAGGGAGGAGGGGAGTGGGGTGGGTTGAGTGGCAGAGAAGACAGTTGGGGGGTATAATTAGTCAGGTTTCTCTCTGGATGGAGTTTCAAGGCAGAAAATCAACAAGGAGACAGTGGCCTTAAATGACACACTAGATCAGATGGATTTCATTGATATCTTCAGAGCATTTCATCCCAAAGAAGCAGAATATACATTCTTTTCAAGTGCACATGGAACGTTTTCTAGGATAAACCACATGTTAGGACACAAAACAAGTCTCAACAAATTTAAGAAGATTGATATCATATCAAGCATCTTCTCTGACCATAATGCTATGAAACTTGAAACCGATCACAAGAAGAAAACTGGAAAACACTCAAAGACATGGATGCTAAATAACATGTTACTAAGCAATTACTGGGTTAACCATGAGATCAAGGAAGAAATCAAAAGATACATTGAAACAAATGAAAATGAGAACACAACAACCCAAAATCTGTGGGACACAGAGAAAGCAGTCCTAAGAGGGACATTCATAGCATTACAAGAGAAAGCTCAAATAAATACTCTAACTTTACGCTTAAAGGAATGTGAAAAAGAACAATAAACAGAGCCCACAGTGAGTAGAAGGAAGGAAGTAATAAAGATCAGAGCAAAAATAAATGAAATAGAGTCTAAAAAAAAATAAAGAAGATCAGTGAAGCAAAGAGTTGGTTCTTTGAAAAGATAAACAAGATTGACAAACCTTTAAATAGACTCATCAAGAAAAAAAGAGAGAGGACTCAAATAAATAAAATCAGAAGTGAAAGAGGAGAAGCAACAAACTGACACCAAAGAAAAACAAAGGATTTTAAGAAAATATTATGAATGACAAATTGGACAATCTGGAAGAAATGGATAAATTCCTAGGAACATACAACCTTCCAAAACGGATTCAGGAAGAATCAGAGAATCTGTATCCAGTGGTTCTCAACCTTCTGGCCCTTTAAATACAGTTCCTTATGTTGTGACCCAACCATAAATATATTTTCGTTGCTACTTCATAATTGTAATGTTGCTACTGTTATGAATCATAATGTAAATATCTGATATGCAGGATGGTCTTAGGCGACCCCTGTGAAAGGGTCGTTCGACCGCCAAAGGGGTTGCGACCCACAGGTTGAGAACCGCTGGACAGATTGCAACTAGTGAAACTGAAGCAGCAATAAAAAACTCCCAACAAACAAAAGCCCTGGACAGGATGGCTTTTCGGGAGGATTTTACCAAACATTCGAATAAGAACCAACACCTCGCCTTCTCAAACTATTCTAAAAAAATTCAAAGACTCCCAAGCTCATTTTATGAGGCCAGCATTATCCTAATTCCAAAACCAGATAAAGACACGATAAAGAAAGAAAATTATAGGCCACTATCCCTGGTGAACATAGATGCAAAATCCTCAACAAGATATTAGCAAACCAAATCCAGCATACATTAAAAAGATCATGCACCATGATCAAGTGGAATTTATTCCAGGGATGCAAGGTTGGTATAATACCCATAAAACAATAAACATGACATACCACATAAACAAACTGAAGGTTAAAAAGCTCATGGTCATATCAATAGATGCAGAAAAAGCATTTAATAAAATCCATCACTCATTTATGATAAAAACCCTGAGCAAAATCGGAATAGGGGAACATACGTCAACATGATAAAAGCCATTTATACCAAACCCACAGCCAACGTCATGCTCAATGGGCAAAAACCACAGGCATTTCTTAAGATCGGGGAACACGATAGGGATGTCTGCGTTCACCACTCTTATTCAACACAGTACTGGGAGCCCTAGCCAGCGATCAGACAAGAAGAAATAAAAGGCACCCACATTGGAAAGGAGAAGTCAAACTGTCAATATTTGATACAGTTGCATACAGTGGCCTCTACAGACAATATCATGTATGGGGTTTTCTATATATATAATATCATGTCATGTAGAACCCATGTAAATAGATTACCCCCCAGAACTACCAGAACTGATAAATGAATTCAGTAAAGCAGCAGGACACAAAATCAGTATCCAGAAATCAGTTGCATTCTTATACACCAACTAGAGGCCTGTTGCACGAAAAGATTCATGCAATAGACCTTCCCTTCCCCTGGCTGCCGGCACCGGTTTTCCTCCGGTACGCAGGACCCAGGCCTTCGCTCCGGCTGGAGCCGCCTTCAGTGCCTTTGCTGCTCCGCTTTGTGCCTATGTATGCAAATTAACTGCCATCTTTGCTGGCAGTTAATTTGCATACCTCACTGATTAGCCAATGGGAGGCATAGCGAAGGTACGGTCAATTACCCTGTTTGTCTATTATTAGATTATATAGTGAACTATTGGGCAAGAGAAACAAAAGAAAAACAAATGGGACTACAGAGTTTTTGCACAGCAAAGGAAACCGTCAACAAAATGAGAGATAACCCAACGAATGGGAGAACATATTCACCAATGATACATCTGATAAGGGGTTAATCTCCAAAATTTATTAAGAACATATAAATCTCAACACCAAAACAAACTAACAATCCAATGAAAAAATGCACAAAAGATCTGAATAGATACTTCTAAGAGGATATACATATGGCCAATGGACATATGAAAAGACGCTCAATGTCACTAATCATCAAAGAAATGTAAATTAAAGTCACAATGAGATACCACTCCCTCTGCTGGGTGGGCAGAGCCAGGCTTTCCCCCTCCAGGTGTGTTTCCTGGTGGGGGCCCAGTGGATGCCACTGAGAGACTTCGTGGCTTCTCCGGCCCTGCTCTCAGGAGAGGGTGGGGGTGTCCGGCCTGCTCCAGGCAGGAAAACAAACTCTGCCTTGCTTTTCATTTTTCAAGACTCAGAGTTTGACGGGGTGGGCTGGCAGGTGGACGTGTGGGCGGGCTGGGTGCCTGGGGAGGAGAACTGGAGCCCAGAACCTGACTTCCTTCACAGACCACACAGCAGCCCAGGCCGAGTGCCTTTGAAAATCAATCGGTTGCAACCTGAGCTCTAGGATGTCTGCAGAGATCTTGGCATCGGGCGTCCCCTCCTGTACCGCCCAACCCAATGGCTCACTGGTGGGGCGTGGGGGGCAAATGAGCCAGTTCTCACCCGCCTGCTTCTGCCTGGGCCCTGGGCTGGGAAACTGGGCATCTGGGAGGGCAGGAAGCAGGAGGGGCCCACGCTTGGCAGGGGTCTAGCAGGGCCCCTCCTGGGACAGGGGTGAGAAGAACTTACATGGCTTCTATCCCTTCCTTGTTTTAAAAACTGTAGTGGGCATGCAATGTTATATCAGTTTCAGGCATACGACATAGTGAGTCCACATTTATGCATCGTACGATGTGATCACCACACCAAGTCTAGTAACCACGTGTCAGTGCAAAGTCATCGAATATTATTGACTATTTGCCCCTCACCTTTTTCATCCCACCCCTTACCCCCACCATCGGTTTGTTCTTTGTGTCTATGAGCCTGTTTTTGTTTTGTTCATTTTTGATTTTTTAAAATTCCACATATAAATGAACTCATATGGTATTTGTCTTCCTCTGTCTGACTTGTTTCAGTTAGCATAATGCCCTCTGGGTCCACCCCCGCTGTTGGGAATTGTAGGGTTTTGTTCTTGTTTATCTAATATCCAGTTGTATACATCTCCTTATTCCATTCAGCTGCCCCCTTCTTCCTGAGCTCAGAACGCAGGGACAAGAGGTGGGGCTGGAAGACTCAGGAACGAGAGTCAGGACACATGCCCCAAAGCAAATCAATCTCCATGCCTCAGTTTCCTCATCTGTTAAGTGGGGCCAGTATCTGGGAGGTTCTAGAATACACTTGACTGGCCAGTATCTGGCACACATGAGCATGTAATCAATGGTGCCTACTATTAATGTTATTTTTATGCCCCAGAATATAGAGTGGTGGCATCACCAGGCAGGTGGCTCTTTGAGCCATCATCCTCTCCACCTCCCTTTCTGACCTTAGTTAGCAACTGCAAACCCCTGAGTCCTGGCTGCATCCGAGTCCCTGTACCAGTGCTTACTAACCGTGCAACCTCCTCCCTCTGACACCTCAATTTCCAGATCTGTACGGAGGGTAACACAGGAAGAGCCTGGCAACCACCCCCACAAAGGGCTCGGCCGAGCGTGGGCACATGGACTCTCAGTGCCAGCTCTGCCCCTGAAGCTGGCAGGAGCCCGGGGAGGGCAGGCCGAGGGTGAACTGTTACCTGAAGCCGTCCTTGTGGCTCTCGCTCAGGTGGCAGGTGCCGCCGTGCTGGCAGGGGTTCTGGATGCAGGTGTTTATGGGCGTGGCACAGTCTTTGCCCTGCGGGGAAGGGGGAGAAGCACCCAGTTAGGGAGGCTCTCGGGGGCTGTCCTGAACCAGGAGACCCCTGGGAGTTCCCAGCATCCTCTGGGATGGGGCCTGCAGTGTGATCAGAGAAGACCGCAGGGAGCCCCTGCTGCTGGGGGCTCCCTAGTGAGAAGGGGAGGCATGTGGAGGATTCAGGAGTCTGGGTCCCCAGAATTCACACGTTCTCTCTCTCCTGTTCTAAACCCCAGGGCAAGAGCATGGGGTTTGGATACAGAACAACCTGGATTCACATTGCAGCTTCGTCTCTTCTTGGTTGGCTGACCTTGACCTTGTAGAAGCCTTTTAACCTCTGTAAGCCTAGCTCATTCAGTTGCTATGAGACCTAAACCAGACCTTTCTTATAAGAAAGTACTTAACATTGCATAACACGTCTAGCACACAGTAGGCATTCTATACATCCTAGTAGGTGATATTATTATTAGCCTCACGGAGGCCTGAATACAGTCCACAAGGAGGGCGTGGCCAGCAGACCTTGTCCCTGTTAAGTGACAACCCCCGAGATTCATCTCTGATTGGCCTGGACGTGGGCCCAGGTGCTGGTATTTACATTAAAGTTCTGCGGGTGATTCTCATGTGCAGCCGGAGACCCTGTGACTGAGTTCTGGGGCGGGGGTCCTTAGGCACAGGCGCCTCTGGAGGGGACGTTTGAGCTGAGAAGGAGCCACCTGGCCGCTGAAGGGACAGCGGGTCGCAGGCATGAGGAAGGGGCTAAGCGGGCGGCCTGCAGCTTGGCCCCCTGGCTCCAGCTTCTCCCCTGGGACCCATGGGCCAGTGCTACACCCCAGTCTTGGCAAACAGTCCCTCGGAGGGCCTATGGGGCCTGGGGAGGTGCCCTCTGTGTTGGTTCCCGGGCTGTGGGCACCATGCCAGGCAGGGGTGACCACGGAGCCCTCCCACGGCTACACCACCTGCTCACCATCTGCCTGAAAATCCTCTCCCCTTGCTGCTGCGCCAGGGCCTAGAAGAGTGGCCTGGGCTTCCTGCCTGGCCGCCGCTGCCAGCCAAGCGCAGGACTGAGGTGGGTCCCCGGCCTCCACTGTCCCAGCAGCCCCAGGCTGCCTGCTTCCCTTCCTGCCCCGCACGTTTAAAGGGCCAGTCAGGGGTTTCCGGGAGGGGCGGCAAATGCAGGATGCGTGAGATCTGGTTTATCCTAAATTACAGCACATAGGAGCATTTTCAGGGGTCAGTGTGGCAATCCCCATTTCCGCACGGGTTCAGGGAGCACGTTTCCATTCCAGGCCTCGTGCTAAGTGCTCTATATTCACCAGCGCATATGATGTTCACAGCAACTGTATGGGGCTGGTACGACTGCGACGACCCCCACTTTTGTCCCTGTGCCGGCCACTCACCCCTCAGACCGGCTGCCGAGTGAGGCAGAGCTGGGTGCACACCCGCTCCGGCTGCCACGTGCCTTGAGGGAGAGACCTGCCTGGACCTTGTTCTCACCATGACAGGGATACCTACCTACAGAGTGGCCGGTGATTAGCAACCACCTACATGCGAGGCACCTGGCGAGGCCTGGCAGCTCCGTAAATAGCCATTCTGATGAGGAGGAGGACTTTTCAGGTGCTGATTGTTCAGAAACTTGTGTGTGTGTGTGTGTGTGTTGAACAAATGAGCCATGAAGGGCAGGGCAGGAAAACCTGAGCAGGTCAAGGTGGGCAAGGTGGGACCCCCCCTAGCTCTTGCCTGGACCAGCCTCTCTGCTCTGGGGACTTTCGGAACCCTCGGTGGGGCTGGGACTGGGGCTGGGGGTGTCTCCTCCAGCCTCTTATGCTGAGCCCAGGAATCCAGGAGGCAGAGCTAACACTGACAACACGGCAGCTCAGCCTGCAGGTGGGGTTTCTGTCATACGCGACCTTGAGGAATAACCACCGTTGTCGGTGCTTGGCTAATGAGCCCGACTCAACTTTCTTCAGCCTCCTTTTGCTCAAATCCTTCAGCTCTGTGATGCTCCTTGTCTCCCCGCCCCCACCCCTGAGGGTGTGCCTGTGAAGGACATGGCCAGGGCCCATGGCTTCCTCTGAGGAAAGTGGGAACAGCCACCCCCATGGAAGCCTCTTCCTGAGGCCCCGAGACCTTGCTACTCAAAGCATGGTCCCCGGACCAGCAGCAACCGTGGGCCTGACGAGTCAGGGCCTGCACGTTCGTCAGCTCCCCGGGCGACTCCTGCGCCCACGAGTGAGAAGCACTGTTCGGAGACAGGGAACACCTGTGCATGCAGCTCCCTGGCTGAAAAAGGATCAGCCGGAATATGCATTTTATTTCTCGTCCTTGCTGGCTGCCCTGAGCCTATCAATGGGTGGTACAATGGCTCTAGGCCTTTTTTTTTTTTTAAATTTTTCCCTTTATTGATTAAGATATTACATTCGCTCATGCTTATATGCATGCATACTCAGAGGGTAGATAGGGGAGGGTGGGGGTGAGGGGGAGAGATCAACCAAAGGCCCTAGGCCTTTTAGTCCCCCACCCTGTGTCCTCCTCGGAAGGGCTGGAACCTTCCGGGGCTGGGTGTCCTGAGGGCAGAGCTGGGGTGGGGGTGGGGTCTGGAAATTCCCGTGGAAGGGAAGCCAGGGGAGTGGGTTTAGGGATGCCTCGCCCCGGAGGTCCCTCTGACTGACTGACGTTCCCACGTCTAACTAAGGCAGTGTCACACTTCCTCCCCACCTCAGTTGCTGTGGAGACCAGGGGGTCCCGGTGGTTGGCATGAGCGTGATGAAACTGGGCCACCCGACCAGCAGAACAGGCGTGTTACCAGCAAATGCCACTCTGGGGTGGCCTGTGACACGGAGTCACCCCTGCTGCCCTGGAGGCACAGGCCCTCCTGGGGCAGAGGCCGGCTGGGCGGGCGTGCTGCCTACCTTGTAGCCGTAGGGGCAGGCGCAGCGGTACAGCTCCACGGGGTCCTGGCTGCACGTCCCGTTGTTCCTGCACGGGCTGGAGAGGCAGGCGTTGCACTTGGCCACAATGCTGATGTCCACTGGCCCTGGACAGCAGAACCGCAGGCGGTTGGTGGTGGCCCCTGAGCGGGCTCCGTTACACCTCCCTTCCCCTGGGCTCTGGCCCCTTCCTCAGCCAATGGCAGCCCCTCCCCCCCATCCCAGCCCGCCATCCGCCCAGCCAGAGTCCCATCAATCCAGCCACTGTCCAGGGAGGAGAGGTCACAGTGGGACAGCATTCAGAAGCACCACTGCAGTCACACCAATTACTGTAATTAGCCTGATCCTATTCGGTGCTAATCTGCAAACAATGCACCATAATTAGAAAACCCGTGTGTATCTTTTTGTTTGTTCCAGAAGCTCTGGGCCCAGGCTCCTTTGGAACCTCCCTCCTCCACCCCAAATGCATCCCCCACCCGCAACCCTCACGGAGTGGTCAGTGCCCAGCTATGGAGGACGCAGGGTGGGGCCAAGGAGGCAGAGCCCGTCATGGTGGGAGGAGGAAGACACAGTGGTGAGGACACAGCCACGGTGCTGACAAGGGCGGCCGTGCTCGGGACTCTGCACCCACGACGCTGTCAGCGCGTCCTGCTCTCCAGCTGTGAGGGCGGCAGGAAGGGACGTGGTCCCCGCAGAGCTGGGCTGTTGTCAGCTCGGACAGTAGCCCCGGACGAACAGGCCCTACTGCAGTGGTTCTCAACCGTCTGGCCCTTTAAATGCAGTTCCTCATGTTGTGACCCAACCATAAAATTATTTTCGTTGCTACTTCATAACTGTAATGTTGCTACTATTATGAATCGTAATGTAAATATCTGATATGCAGGATGGTCTTAGGCCACCCCTGTGAAAGGGTCGTTCAGCCGCCCAAGGTGTAGCGACCCCCACAGGTTGAGAACCGCTGCCCTACTTCATGTTAGAACTTGAAATGAACCTCAGGTAGCGGCCATCCATGTGGAGACCGGGTTGAGTCTGAGCCGGTGGGGAGAGGGGCCGTTTCGGGTTGGTGACCAGATGGCCGGAGTGAGAACCACACCATGGGTGTGGCCCTGGGTTTCCATTAGGACAGAGACTGCCCCAGGGAGACGGTTCCCGAGGACACGTGGCGGTGTGGAGGGTGGTTAAAGTACCCGGTAAAAAAAAAAACCAAACAGGCGGAAAACAGTACGGCTCTACGAGGTGAGCAAGGACGTTAATGGACAAGTGTAACACATGTGGGAAGTAAATTTTTGAAAAAAATCAGTTTCTCCAGTAATCAGAGATAAAAAAAATATAAAGAGATATGATATTTTAGCTATTGAATTAGTAGTGATTACAAAAAGAGATAAAATAAAGCCAGAAAGTGAAAATTGCACTCACATGGTGCCACTGGGGAGCCAGCGGCTTACTGCCCTTTCTGGAAACCAGTGTGGCGACAAGTGTGAAGGTTTTAAACATCAGCATGCACCTGGCTCAGTAATTCCTGCCTCAGAACCTTATCTGAGGACCCACTTTTAAAAAGAGCAAGAACTCAATGCAGCAACAGTGAGGATGAAACTGGAAATACTCTACGGCAGTGGTTCTCAACCTTGGCTACACGTTAGAATCACCTGGGAATCTTTTTAAAATCCTGATTTCTGGGCCTCATCCTCCGGAAATTCTGTTTCTTTGTTACTAATGTTGTGGCCGCACCCCATAACAAAGAAACAGAATTTCCGGAGGATGAGGCCCAGAAATCAGGATTTTAAAAAGATTCCCAGCTGATTCTAATGTGCAGCCAAGGTTGAGAACCACTGTTCTACGGGTTCAAAAGGAGCTGGTGGGGAGGTGAGGTGAGTATTACCCCTGGGGCCCAAGTGAGGCCCGGGTGGGTAGTACACCTGGGGCCCAGGAGAGGTTGAGGTGGGGGTAGTACACCTGGGGCCCAGGAGAGGCCGAGGTGGGTAGTACACCTGGGGCCCAGGAGAGGTTGAGGTGGGGGTAGTACACCTGGGGCCCAGGAGAAGCCTGGTTGACAGTACAGCCCGGGGCCCAAGCCTGCATTCTGAAATAGGAAAGGC